AGACCTTTAATCATGGTTCACAACTTACTCAACATCAGAGAATTCATACTGGTGAGAAACCCTATCAATGTAGTGAATGTGGAAAAGCCTTTAATAGAGGCTCACTACTTACTCGGCATCAGAGGATTCATACTGGTGAGAAACCCTATGAATGCAAAGAATGTGGAAAGACCTTTAGTCGTGGCTCAGAACTTACTCAACATGAGAGAATTCACACTGGTGAGAAACCCTATGAATGTAAGGAATGTGGAAAGTCTTTTATTCGTGGTTCACAGCTTACTCAACATCAGAGAATTCATACTGGTGAGAAACCTTACGAATGTAAAGAATGTAGAATGGCCTTTACTCAGAGTTCGCATCTTTCTCAACATCAGAGACTTCATACTGGTGAAAAGCCATATGTATGTAATGACTGTGGAAAGGCCTTTGCTCGTGGCTTACTACTTATACAGCATCAGAGAATTCATACAGGTGAGAAACCTTATCAGTGTAAGGAATGTGGGAAGGCCTTTATTCGTGGTTCACAACTTACTCAACATCAGCGAATTCACACTGGAGAAAAACCCTATGAATGCAAGGAATGTGGGAAAGCCTTTAGTCATGGTTCTCAACTTACTTTACATCAAAGAATACATACTGGTGAGAAGCCCTATGAATGCAAAGAATGTGGAAAAGCCTTTACTCAGAGCTCACACCTTTCTCGACATCAGAGAATTCATACTGGTGAGAAACCATATCAATGTAAGGAATGTGGGAAGGCCTTTACTCGTGGTTCACAACTAACTCAACATCAGAGAATTCATATCAGTGAGAAATCTTTTAAATATAAGGAATGTGGAATAGACTTGACTCATAGCTCACAAGTTTATATATGAATTTGAAACTTTGTGATTAATAAAGAGATTTCTGTGGTCATTAATCCATTATAATCAAAGAATTCTTAAAATGTGAATATGGGAGTACACTTTCTCATAAAACTCTGCATCAGTGAATTTATTTGGGGAAGAGTGATAATGTAATCCATATAGAAAAATTTATTACTAGAAACTGATTAAACTTTAGTGAATTTTAATCAATAGTAATGTAATAAATATTAGAAGGCCTTCAGCCATAGCATGTCTTTTTAAGCATTATCTTGACTCTATCAGTTGCTTCCCTTTGTGACATTTGTTATGATAACCTTTAGTTTAATCATTTGTAAGAAAACTTAATACCTTCCTTATCAAATTCTTGAAAGTATTATGTGAGTTGTTACATGTAAAGCTTTTAGAGCAGTGCCTTGAACATAGCAGAGCACAAATATTAGCTGTTATTATAGTGTTAGATAATTTGCATGAGAGGAGGACACTTATGAGTATAATGAATATTGAAAAATATTCCATTTAACATTTAACCCCAATTATTTGAATGGGGAACACTGTATGCTATAATAAATGTGAGCAAGCTTTTATTTAGATTTGATCCAATATGCTACAAGAGGAAATTCATACTGTATATTAAAAAAAACCACTGTAGGTTTAATGAGTGGATTGTTGACGAGGTTTTAAGTGAATTGTAACAAAGTCCAAAAACTCATATTTTCTCTTTCTGACCACAATTCAAGAATATTATTTAGAAATGGATAACCATAATAAATCTTTCTACTAGGAACTTTTTAAAAACTTGGGTTTACAGATTTTGATTAACATGAAAATAAAAACTGACATTACAGACTGTTTTGCAATGAAAAAATGAGTCTATGCCAGAGACTGCTGTTTTTCTGCCCAGTATCCATTTCCCTTTTTTAGTAACTGAATTCTTGATTGAAAACCTATGTAAGATTTCCTTGCTGATTAAAGTGGAAATGATATTTCGTATGATTAGGACATTTAACCCTTTTTCCTCTATTTTCCCTCTGTCTACAATGTGGACATTTAATCTGTAGCACTGGCAGTTTTATGGGAACTTTGAGAATGGGTATTAAGGATGGTGGAGTAGAAAAACAAAATATACACCTCTGCTGATTTTATACAACAGCCACAACAACTTTGGTCTTCCTGTATTTCTTTACATAGAAATGAAAATAAACTTACTTATTGATACTATTGTTATTTTCTTGTTGACAAAATTATTAAGGATATAAAATTTTGTATCTGGATGTGGAGTCCTGTGGGAAAGGAAATCTCAAATGTGGCACTGCTTTAGGGCCATGGAGAATGAGGATCTACCTATCTCAGACTAGAAAACTGATGATTGTTTTTATACACAAGACATTTGGTCAGACTCCCACTTTATCTCACAAGGCATATCTTGTTCCAATTAAGACTATGATGTTAGGAAAAATAATAGGAGTGATTCAGAATGTGGGTATTGGATGCTTCTTTCTGCATTTGGTAATGCCCTGTGAAAGAAATTTAGTGGAGAGTTAGATACCGAGGGTGCTTTCAGAGATTGAAAACAATATTGATTTGTTGAGAGATGTAGGTGCTCAATCCAGGTTGATGGTAAATTTTAGAACTTTGATCCTTGTGGGATTCAAAATGCCAAACGCTTTAACTGAAGCCACTTACAATGATTTAAAGTAGCAGCTAAACAAGAAATGAGACCATTGCTAATCCTTGCAAACGCAGTGAATCTGTTAGCAAAAGAAAAAAAGAATTTAAAATGCTTTCCCAGTGTTCTTATTTATTAAGTACTTAATATTTCAGCTACTCTTTTAGGTATTTGGTGTATATCAATGAACAATTCTAGAAGGAGAAGATAGAATAATACATTGTAGAGTATGTTAGAACATACGTGTCATGGGGGAAATTTTCAAAAGGAGTGGAGGGGGATATGACAGTTTAGGCTGCTATATGAAATAGAATGATTGGGGTAGACCATGGAGAAGGAAATATTTGAGTCAAGATTTGTAGAGTTGAAGGAGTAAATCATTATCTAAGGTAAGGGCATTCCAGGCAGAGGAAAAAGAGCAAAGGCCCTTACATTGCTGGTGTGTTTGAGGAACACCAGTGGAGATATTGTAAAGGTTTGTGCTGATGGATGCTTGATAAAGGAGGTAAGAGAGATAATGACTATACCTTGTAAGTCATTTTGTATTTTGAGAAGAGGACATGATCTGACATATTGCTATTGTGTTTAAAATTTTAAAAGTCTAAGTGGCTATGAGTAGAGGTTATGGCATTAATTCAGATAAATGATGATAGTAGCTCAGACCAGAGTAGCAACAATGGTGAGAAGTGGTTGGAGTCTAGATATATGGTAAATATGATGGAGCAAGCAAAATTTGTTTGAGGGTTAGATGTCAGATGTAAAAGAAAAAAAGTCTAGGGTACTGACCCAAAAGTTTAGGGCTCAAGTAACTGGAAAGATGTTCTCATCAGCTGAGATGGGGAAAGGTACAGTTCCATCAGGTTTATGGGGGAAGATTGGAAGTACATTTGTTGGACATACTGAGTTTGGCATGTCTTTTTGACACAAAATAACAATATTGAGTGAGCACTTGGATGTTCTAATTTGTACTATTCTAGAGATTATATTAATTTGATAATTATTACCTATAGTTATTTAAAATCATGAAGCAGGACAAGATCATTAAGGACCTGAGTATGGTGAGAGAAAAGAACATAAAGGACTGATCCACCTTGAGAATTCAAGGATAAAAGACAATCAAAGCAGGATCAGTGAGATGGAAAGACAACTAATAGTTGTACCACAGAAGCCAAATGAAAGTGAGTCAAAGGGAGAGGATGGCTGCTGACGGGAAGGCAGACTGCAAGATAGTGTGTGAGTGAGAGAACAAAAGGAGAGTGTGTGGACATATGGGGAGTGTTTATTTGTGGGTGAGGGACAGCTGTATTCCAAGGGACTGTTGGGGACTGCCAGACTGGGCTCCCCTGACCAGGCAGCCTCCACTGTTGCTGAAATCTCTCCTGAAGCGACCAGCTCTGCTGCGGAGACCACGCCATCTTGAAGGGGGAGAGTATCTGTTATCAGAAGCCTGTACATCCTGGGACTCTACAACCACAACACCCAGGGGCTAGCTGTGAACCCAGGAATACTCAAGCAGCATGAATACGCAGAGTTGGATGAGCTCTGCACCTTCTCACGGAAAGGTCAGATTTCACCTAGGGAAAGGTGAGATCTGCAATCCAGGCAGGAGAATGTGCGAATGGGATCTAGAGGTTCGGGGGAAGTCTGCGCCCCACAAAATCTGCAGCCATTGGGGCTAGCGTGATCTGTGAATGTGGAAGGAGATCCACAGGGCTCCTGGAAGAACTCTAAAAATCAATCCATAGCTGGACTGGGCGCAAAAAGGCACCCTGAAATTTTACCAGTGTGCCAGCTGCTTAGTGCCAGGGGAAAAAAGACTGCACAGAAACATTCACAGAGTTGTGTGCAGTTCCAGAGGGTAAAAGTTGCAAGTTCACACACTTACTCTGGCTCTTTTTTTCTCTCTTTAAATCGTTGCTTTTGATTACTAACCCCAGTACATAGGATCACCCAATTGGGGACACTCTAAGAGACTGCAGGGGAAAGTTGTTCCCTTGGAACCTGGGGATTAGAGCAGGGAGTAACGATCAGAGAACCAGCTCTGGGGCAATCCATTCTCCCAAGTCAGTATTAAGTGCGACAGGGAAAACAAAATCTAAATACTGGCTAGAGGGGACTTATAGCCCCGGAGGTCAATCCAGAAACACTGCCACCCAGGGGTTAAATCACAAATTGACTCTTGTGTAAACACAAATAAAGGAGTCTAAGACACAAAGAAATACTGCCTGCTTGAAAATCAGGACTGTGGCTTACAACACAGAGGAGCAGTTGAACGCAGGGAACTTCAATATTCTCTGACAACTTACAGGAAACAAGTGGGCCAAACAGAACAGTAGAGGAAGTGAATGACCTTCACTACTGCACATTTTTATTTTTTCATCTTTTACTTAAGAAACCATTTTTTCCCTCACTTGATTTTACCTTTTTAATTATTATATATTTATTTATTTATTCATTTATTTTTTTTTACGGGAACCAGGACCAATGATCACCAGCTGCCCAAGTACCAAAAAATTATGCTTCTGAAATCTCTTGATGTCGATTCCACACATAGAGCAATCAGGCTGCTCTATGTGTGCCATGCACGACAGAAGCCTATATTTTTATTTTTAATCAGTATTACCACTACTATTTTACCTTTTTTTAAAGTGTCATTTTATTTTCTCTTTATAATATTTTGGGATTAGTGTTCTACATTCTATTTTCATTTTTCCTTTAGCATCGTTTTACTCTATCTCAACTTTACCTTTATCCAACACTCTCTTCCTCACTTATCCCATTTTGTTGTCCTGTTTCTCTTACCCTATTCCTGCTTTAGATTTTCCCTATTCCTTCTTTTCAGTCCATTAAAAATTCATCCTACTTATACATCTAATTTCTGATCCCCTGTTCTAAGTCCATACACACCTCTGTCTTCTCTTTCTTCACTATCCAATTTTTCTTTTTTCTCCCTTCCCTTTTTATTTTTGTTATTGTTTTCTTGTTTTGTTTTATTCTAGGTTTTGTTTTGTTTTGCCTTGCTTTCTCTCTGTCCTATTGTTGTTGTTTGCTTTATTATTGATTAGATTTTTTTGTGCCTGTTTGTGAGATTGTTTCTCTTTTTTGTGTTGTTTTTATTTATTTTTTGCTTCTATTTTCCTTCTCTTCGCTTGATATTAGTTGTTTGTAGTTTGCATTCATCTCTGGGTGTTGATTGCATTTTTTGGGATTAGTGGTTGTTCTATTGGAGTTTTCTCCCCATATAAGTAGTTTTTCCCCCCTTCTTTTTTATTCTCTTTCTTTTCTCTCATTTTTTTTTGCTTTTGTCAGTATCATTTTTGTACTCCTTTTTTTCTTATCCCCTAATTCTCTTTTTTTCTGGTGGTGATCTTTATTTGGAGTAATTAGTATCGTGAATACATTTGTATTCAGTGCCTTGTGCGTTGTGCCTTGTTGTGTTGTATTTTGTGCCTTTAAATCAATGCAGGAGAGAGAGAGAGCTACATAACCAGACACTAAGAGGAGAGACCTCATGGGGGGAACAAAGAAACAGCCCGCATATGAAAGAAAAGGAGGCATCACCAGAATAGGAAGTAAACGAAAGAGAGGCAATCAATATGTCAGAGAAAGAATTCAGAGAAATGGTCATAAAGTCGCTGAAAAGAATGGAAGACAAATTCAACAATATAGGTAAAAACCAACAGGAAATGAAGGAGAACCAAGAAGTAGTGAAAAATGACATCACTCCTATAAAGAACTCAATTGAAAGCATCAACAATAGACTAGAAGAAACAGAGGACCACATCAGTGAACTAGAAGACAAGGTAGGAAAAAACACCCAAGCAGAGTAGCATCTAGAAAAAAAAAACTTAAAAAACAGAAGGAGAGACTAAGGGAATTTTTGGGACAACACAAAACAAAACAACATCCACATAATAGGGGTGCCAGAAGGAGAGGAAACTGAGAAAGGAATAGAAAACCTGTTTGAAGAAATAATGACAGAAAACTTCCCAGATATAGGGAAGAAAAACTCACACAAATCCAAGAAGCTCACAGAGTCTCAAACAAAATGAACCCCAAAAGACCAACGCCAAGGCACATTATAACTAAATTGGCAAACACCAACGACAAAGTAAGAATTTTAAAACCGGCCAGAGAGAGAGACAGAAAGTTATCTACAAAGGATCCCCCATCAGACTAGTGACTGATTTCTCAACAGAAACACATCAGGTAAGAAAAGAATGGGCCGAAACCAGTTTGGCTCAGTGGATAGAGTGTCGGCCTGCGGACTGAAGGGTCCCTGGTTCGATTCTGGTCAAGGGCATGTGCCTGGGTTGTGGGCACATCCCCAGTGGGGGGTGTGCAGGGGGCAGCTGATCGATGTTTCTCTCTCATCGATGTTTCTAACTCTTTATCTCTCTCCCTTCCTCTGTAAAAAATCAAGAAAATATATTTAAAAAAGGATGGAATGAAATGTACAAAGTCATGCAAAGGAAGGGTCTGAATCCCAAGAATACTGTACCCAGCAAGGCTATCAATCAAAATTGAGGGTCAAATCAGGAGCTTCACAGACAAAAAAAGACGAAGAGAGTTTACCACCATCAAACCAGCAATGCAAGAAATGCTAAAGGGTCTGCTGTAAAAAGAAGAAATAGGAAGCGAAGAAGGAACACAGGGGCAAAAAATAAAAATGGCGACAAACAAGTACCTATCAATAATAACTTTAAATGTAAATGGATTCAATGCCCCAATGAAAAAACAGGATAGCTGAGTGGATAAGAAAACATGGCCCATATATCTGCTGTCTACAGAAAACCCACATCAGAATAAAGGACTCACACAGACTGATGGTGAAGGGATTGAAAAAGCTTTTTCATACAAATGGAAATGAAAAAAAGCTGGGTAGCAATACTTATATCTGACAAATTAGATCTCAAAGTGAAGGACATAACAAGAGATAAGGAAGGCCAGTTCATAATACTAAAGGGAGCAATCCAACAAGAAAGAATAACTCTGGGAAACATATAAACACCCAATACAGAAGCACCCAAATACATAAAACATCTTATGAAGGATATCAAGGGAGAAATTGACAGCAATACAGTCATAATAGGGGACATTAATACCCCACTATCACCTTGGACAAATCCTCTAAACCAAAAATCAGCAAAAAAAATCAATCCTAAATGACTCAGTAGATCAGATGGAATTAATTGACATCTTCAGAACATTTCACCCCAAAGCCACAGAATATACATTCTTCTCAAGAGCACATGGGTTATTTTTAAAGATAGACCATATATTGGGTCACAGGCACAGTCTCTTCAAATTCAAGAAGATTGAAATCATATCAAGGATCTTCTCAGATGACAAAGGCATAAAACTAAAAATCAACTACAATAAAAACAATCCAAAAAAATCAAACACCTGAAGGCTAAATAGCATGCTATTAAAGAATGACTGGGTTACCAGAGAGATTAAAGAACAAATAAAAAGCATCATGGCAACAAATGACAATGAAAACACAACAATCCAAAATCTATGAGACACAGTGAAAGCAGTCTTGAGAAGGAAGTGCATAGCTCTACAAGCCTACTGCAAAAAAACCCAAGAAACAATGGTAATAAATTACCTAACCCTACAACTCAAAGAGTTAGGAAGAGAGCAACAAGAAAAGCCCAGCATAAGCAGAAGGAAGGAAATAATAAAGATCAGAGCGGAGATAAATGAAATAGAGACTAAACACACACACACACACACACACACACACACACACACACACACACAATACAAAAGATCAAAACCAAGAACTGGTTCTTTGAAAGGATAAACAAGATTGATGAACCTCTAGTCAGGCTTACCAAGAAGCAAAAAGAGAGGTCCCATATAAACAAAATCAGAAGTGAAAAGGTGAAATAACAACCGATCCCACAGAAAAATAAATGTTTTTGAAAAATACTGTGAACAACTCTATTCCAACAGAAAGGACAACCTAGACTAAATGGACATATTATTACAAAAATACAAGCTCCCAAAACGTAACTAAGAAGAATAAAAAAACCTGCATAGGCAGATAACTACCGACGAAATTGAAGGAATGATAAAAAATCAGCAAACAAAAGCCCTGGTCTGGAAAGCTTTATAGGGGAGTTCCGCCAAGCATTCAAATAAGAACTAAAACCTACCCTCCGAACTATTCCAAAAAATTCAATAGGAAGGCACACTTCCAAGCTCTTTCTATGCAGCCAACATTACCCTAATCCCAAAACCAGATATAGACACCATAAAAAAAAGAGATCTACAGGCCAATATCCTTAATGAACATAGATGTTAAAATCCTGAACAAGATTCTAACAAATCAGATTCAGTAATACATTAGAAAGATCATACACCATGACCAAGTGCAATTTATTCCAAGGATGCAAATCAATAAATGTGATACATTATATAAACAAACTGAGAGACAAAAATCACATAATCATATCAATTGATGCAGAAAAAGCATTTGACAAAATCCAACACCTTTTCTTGATAAAAACTCTCAGCAAAGTGGGAGTAGAGGGATCATACCTGAACATAATAGAAGCCCTATATGACAAACCTAGAGCCAGCATTATACTCAATGGGGAAAAACTAAAACCATTTCCTCTAAGAACAGGAACAAGATAAGGATTCCCACTTTCACCACTCCTGTTCGACATAGTACTAGAAGTACTAGCCATAGCGATCAGACAAGAAGAAGAAATAAAAGGCATCCAAATTGGAAAAGAAGAAGTAAAACTATCCTTATTTGCAGATGACATGATACTATACATAGAAAACCCCAAAGACTCCATCAAAAAACTACTAGACCTAATAAATGAATTTAGCAATGTAGCAGGATACAAAATTAACACCCAGAAATCTATGGCCTTTTTATACACCAATAATGAACTCACCGAAAGAGAAATGAAAAAATCAATCCCATTTACCATTGCACCAAAAAAATTAAGATACCTAGGAATAAGCTTAACCAAGGACGTGAAAGACCTGTACTCAGAAAACTACAGGACATTGAGAAAAGAGATAGAGTAGCGGTTCTAAACCTGTGGGTTGCTACCCCTTTGGCGATCGAATGACCCTTTGACAGGGGTCGCCTAAGACCATCCTGCATATCAGATGTTTACATTATGATTCATAACAGTAGCAACATTACAGTTATGAAGTAGCAACGAAAATAATTTTATGGTTGGGTCACAACATGAGGAACTGTATTTAAAGGGCCAGAAGGTTGAGAACCACTGAGATAGAGGAAGACATAAACAAATGAAAGAACATACCATGTTCATGGATTGGTAGAATCAACATCATTAAAATGTCCATACTACCTAAAGCAATCTATAGACTCAGTGTAATACCTATTAAAATACCAATGGCATATTTCAAAGATCTAGAACAAACTCTCCAAAAATTCATCTGGAATAAAAATAGACCCCGAAGAGCCACAGTTGTGCTGAGAAAGAACAAAGTTGGAGGGATCACAATACCAGACATCAAACTATATTACCAAGCCACGGTTCTCAAAACTGCCTGGTACTGGCACAAGAACAGAATAGAGGACCCAGAGATTGACCCAAGCCATTA